CACTCCATCTAAATAAGAACTCCTCTGTGGACAGCAGTTTAATGATTCCACTTCATTAGTCTCAGCACCCAAAACAATGCCAGGCACACTGCAGGTAGGTAGACTATAGTATAGCTCAGTCTCAATGTTGTCTCTTGTTCACTTTCATCCAACAAATACTATATGAATTTTTTAATGAAATTCAAGTCCATTATATAATGACTCCAAACCACCTGTTTCCAACTTCCCATTCTACCATCATCCAAATCTCCATATAGATAGACTCTCATCACCCCAGAACTGATTTTCTTCATCATCTCTATGTTTGGTGACATTCTCTCTGTCTAGAAAGCCTTTGCCCTACCCGTCGCTGCTCTATACATTGACACAGCTCCCCCACTACACTGAACATTCTGTTCACCATTGTTACAAATATTAGGTCCATAATAAATGTCCGTTCATGAAAATGTAAGGACAGGGCAGGAAGGAAAATGGTGGTTGATTTCTTTGATCTTCTAAGCAAAACTTTCCCTCCTACCCCTGGCTTCTACCCTGTTGTGCTTGTATCTCTTAAGTATTTTGGCATTAAGTGATCATTATTTCTGTACACTTTAATGATTCCCAGGTAGAACATTAATTCCTTGTACAATGACATATATATGTATGTATGTGTGTGTGTGTGTGTGTGTGTGTGTGTGTGTGTGTATTCTATCTGCAAGGTTTCAAGCACATGCCACATTTATTTAAGGCTACTTATCTCTTCCACTAGAGGGAAAAAGAGACAGAGACAGAAAGACAAGCACTCCCACAGTATTTTATCCTGCAATCCACTCTGAGTGTTGGTCAAACTGGATCATGGGCACTCATGTGCATGCCCAGTATGTATAAGGAGATGCAGACTGGCATCTGACACTTGAACCCTGAGACTTGAACTCAGAACCAACCTGTGTGGGTCCAGTTTCATTACCACTGTGTTACTATCTGACCTCAATAGCACATGCCACATTAGGCTCTTAATAGATGTTTGTTGTTTAAAATTTCAAGTTTCCTACTTCAAAGTGTTCAGCAACAACCTATGGCAGTTCATTTTCTTCTTTTAAAGCTGTAAATGAATGTATGTGAATAAAGCTACACCTGGACTGAATATGGTCCTCACAGAGCATATTGACATAAAACCTGTATCCTAAGACAAAATAAATTTGAGGAAGACAAAAGTAAAAGAATGTTCAGTTAAATGATCTTTGCTGTCCTAATCACCTCTAAGGTTCATGGTTCTGAGTTTATGGGTAAAGCTAGTCTATGCCACACCCATATTCTTTCTGGAATATACTTTATCCTCCATTGAAAAGGGGTAAGTACATTTTTGTACACATGCACCCCTCATAGCCAGAAAATCTGATGATATCAGGGAGTCCTGCTAACCTCACCTGTGACATCAGCTGGGTATCTGGTCAAGTCAAAAGTTTGATCCAATTTCTTCTGCTTTATCACTTGTTTTTAAGGGCTCATTTTAGGTACAATTATGTTTTCTTTGGAGTTGATGAAAATTTCTTTTTTCATTAGCTAGGCAGTTTCCATCGTTCCAGAACAAGTGGATACAGCTTTAAAGGATAGATATTATGGCAAATTCCTCTCTTTATACCTACTTCACACAGTGTCTCAGCACTATCTATGAGCCTGGCAACAACGCTCCAAACAAGCGCTCAATGAATGCTTGTTGAGTGAATGAAAGAATAGTCCATATGCAGTCATAAGAGGAATGCCCTGAACTGCAGTCCAACACTTGATCAAGGAAACATTATTCTCCTGCTCCTTGGAAGAGTACATGTTACCTCGTGGGGCCAAAGAGTGGGTCTGAAATGATATCCTCCTACAAGGAACTCAAAAGTAGACAGTAGGATCCTTGTTTTCCATGGATTTTATTTTTAAAAAGAAGGATAGAATTTAGCTCATAAGTTATTTCTTAGTAAATCAATCCTTTCTCTCATCTTAAACTTATAATTATAAAGGGAAGTATAATAACATTTTCCTGCAAAGAAATTTAGTAATTCTGGCAGTACTTCATTAATCACTTAATCAGTGTTCAAGCAGAACTGATGTCCTTGACATATATAATCAATCTTAATTCCTTCCACATTTGCTTTTCATCATTTTTGAAATCCAACAACTACACACACTAAGGATTGGTGGCTTATTTTTGCATTAGAGTTTTGTTAGCAGCAACTCATATGTGCATACAATAACAGTCAGAATATTGATACTTGCATTGGGTCTCCTCACAGTTGATTTGAAAACAACTGTTCTCTTCAGTGAATTTATGGAGCTTAATGGTGCCAGGATCAGAGTCTATTATAACTTAATGGGAAAATTAGTTTAGGTCATTTTTAGCTTATAGTATTTGGCACGTGTATTGTTATTAGTAAGCCACAGCTACTTGTTTATGAGGTATTCTTAATAACTTTTCTGAAGCATCCTAAAGCCCGCTGATATAGAGGTGTGATAACACCCCAAAATTGAACAGCCTTGAATTAGGTTTGTCTAGTGATTTCTGCTTTGGAGCAGTATTTTTTTTTTTAATTTGCTTGAGACTTCATGTGCTCACCAGAGAGAGAGAGAGAGAGAGAGAGAGAGAGGAAGGGAGAAAGTGCTCACATGGGGGATGGTCTCGCTGCCATCCCTTTTCCTCTATTTCTTCTTCTTTTCAGGATTTTGGGTACACAAAGCACACTCGGCCATGTGGGATACAGCCACCTTAACCACCATGCCACAAGCTGACCCTGGAAAGGTATTTTTTATGATCACCAGTGTTACTACAGAAGTTCTGATTCTGCCGCTCTTTTTCTCATAACACTTAATAATTTGGAAGTTTAAAAACATTATTTATTCATTCCAGAACTAGGATTAGGTTGTGTGCTTTGCATGTGTTATCTAATAGAATACATGTAACATCTCTATGAGGTGAGTATAATACATATTCCCAGTTCAGAGAAGAAATATGAGACTAACAAAGATCAACAATCTGTCCAAAGTTGCACAGCTGGTCTTTGTTGGGTCTGCCTGATTCCAGAACTCTCAACCATGAGCCAAGGAGTCTGCCACCTATCTTAGGTGTATAAACCAAGGCTAGTATGTAAGTTGGAGAACAAGATATGTTTGAATATATATAGTAGCTAGAAACTGAACTACAAAAAAAATTATTATAGTAAAATAATTATCTTTTAATGAAAAATTAATGGAACCCTGAGCTAGCTAGAAAGCAATTAGTAGGTTACAACAAAAATTAAGGTTAACATTCTACCATGAAAAGGTGGAAAGGAGAGCCAGAAAGAAGGTTAATTATCAGAGTCCATATCATATTGGCAAAAGGGGGATTTGATTTTGAATGACTATTGCTAATAACCATACAGACATGGCCTTCATTAGGAAAACAAATTTCCTGATCCAAATGAAATCTCCCTAAAATCATTCATTCTTTCTTCCCACCCCCTTCTCTTTGCTCTAATATATGGTGATCAAAGTAATTTTCTGACAACTAATTCAACTCCTCAAATATATGGCTGTAAGTGAGCTTATCAATTATTAAATGAGATATCACCTTCATTAATACATTGACAATCTTTTTTAACAGTGTCTTAAGTGATTTTAGTTACTATGAATTAGTTCTCTTCAGCCTAAAAGAACTTTTACCAAGATGAAGCTTTGTCCCTTCACACCAGTACATGAGGAGGCTCATTCTGCATTGCCCCAACATCTCAAAGTCCTCTCCCTGCTTCTGCCCTATCCTTTAGGACTAACTTGTCCTAAACTCAAGCCATTTTAAAAGAACTCGATAATGTCTTTCAGAAATGTGAAGAATAACAGGAAATAAAATATGAGAGGGGAGCTTAGCTAATGGGAGAACAGAACGCTTGGGCCTGACCAGACTTTCTAAGTTGAGGTAACCTCAGCAAAAATAGGCCTAAGAGTCAGCTACCGGCTTGTTCATCAACATCAGCACTTACTAAACTTCTATGATGTGCTCAGTACACTCTTTGCTTGGACCAAAGACTTGAGCTAATTTTCATCTTCAAAAAAGCTGTGAGAAAGCACGTTCACAATTACGGTATAATAGGTGCCTTCCACACCAGGAACCAGGTACAATCAGGTAGCAGACAGGTGGCTGCCATGTATTCCCTGGCTGCGGTCCCAGCAGCCACTCACAAGTAACTTGCCCAAGCCCCTCCTTCTGGGTTCAGAGGGGAAAGCTCAGAGGTATATCACAAAACACATACTTTCTCTGCATGTCCAGTGGCTTTTGGTTTCCACCAATGTCATATGTTCTAGCATCTGTCACATATCTGGATGTGTGGCCCCAGCTAGTGTCCTGGCACCTACTTGCTGCTCACAACCAACAAGGCTACTCCTGCTAAGAGTCTGTTCCCATAACAAAATGTGCTGGCCTTCCTGCTCTAATAGACCCAGCAAATGTGAAGAAGCAGTGTTTTCTCCACAGCCTTGAATCCTGTATCAGGACACAATAAAACATTCCACTTATATCCTTTAAATTTCCTACAGGAACTTGAAGGTAGAAATTTTTATTTTAGTAGCTCTTGATTCATCTTTCATGTTTCTAACATTTCAGGCATTTATCTGAAGAAAACCAAAGGGTCACCATACCCCTGGGCACCCAATGTCTCTCCCCACCATCCCTGAGTATAACCAACCCCCACTCTCTATACTATGTGCTGACCTTCTCTGCCAGTGTCATACTTGAGTGGATTATCAAGTAGCCCTTATGTATGGCCAAGAAATTCTTAGATCAAAAATCTCCTATGAACTCTAATAAGTCCTTTTACACTTCCCAAGAAACTCCTCTATTTTGTGCAAATAAACTCCTGCATGAAGACCCTACCCATCAACCCCAGATCCGTCTGAAATGGTTGGCAGCTGTGACATACCACAGCTTAGATATGCCTCATAACACTAGTCAACTATTAATATATGTGAAAATTTCATACACATTTTTTATGTTTTTGTTTCAGATAAAGGGATATTCATTATCCAAAGTGAAATCTTCACGACATGCATTCAAGCAGGTAAATCTGTACTGACCCTGGAGAGTTGCCAACAACCAAACGAGTACATGCTGTGGAAATGGGTTTCAAACCACCAGCTCTTTAACATAGGCAGCAGCGGTTGCCTGGGCCTGAACCTATCTGACCCAGAGCAGCCTTTAGGCATATATGAATGTGACTCTGTTCACGTTTCCTTGAGGTGGGGCTGTAAAAGGAAGATGATCACAGGCCCACTCCAGTACTCGGTCCAGGTGAAGCAAGGCACCGTGGTTGTGGCCTCATGGAAATATCTTCATAAATGGATTTCCTACATGTCAGGCGATGGAGACATTTGTGAATATCTGCATGAAGGTAAAAATTTGAATCAAAATGCTCTTGAAATGGTATATTTATAAAATTTGTCCACAAATAAAAGATATGTAAAGCAATATGTGAAAAAAATAAAGAAAGCTTGGGATATAAGGGACTTCTGGTAAATACATTTTAGTTTCTTCCTAGCTCATGATAAAAGCATTACTGGAGTTTTATAATGGACATACTAAATTCTGCTAAAGAAGCAGAACTTCTCAAAAATCAAAAGTGTTGCAAAAAAGCATTGAACTGCATTTGAGATTGATGGAAAGGAGGAGAAAGAACAAGAGGACAGGAGGGAGAGAGAAAAGGAAAAGAGAAGGGGACGATCTTTGTAGTGCACATTTTTCTCAGGACCAATATAACCACTCCCCCAACAACACTTCTCTTATTGTAGAAACTCAGTCCGACCTATAGAGGTGTGTCTATAGGACACCTCAAATGGCTCTGAATGCCTGGCTGACATCTATGTGAAGGTCATGTTATAAGACCCTTGACAATAAATGATAAACTATAGTCAGAGTTACTTGGTTTGTGCTAAGTATAGTTTGCAGGCAATCATCACTTATGGAGAGACTTTCCTTTTCCATAGTTCTATTATTTTTTGACAGTATTTTGGCAGTCTTAAAAGCTGAGGCTAGCAATGTGCTGGGAATTCAGGCCAGTCCCTGTCTATTGTGAGAAAGTGGTGGGAATCTCCGCAGCTGGTCCGTTCACCCCACGACCTATTGATTTAATTAAGGGTGGACCTGCTCCCCTCATCATAGAAAGACCCAATTGAGTCATGAAAAATTCTTGTTGATTCCTACTTAAGGCCAAGGATAACAGATTATTGCAATACGTTGAGAAAGAAGCCAGCAGGTCATCGCTAGTGGCCATCTGTCTTCTAGACCACTCACTGTACAGACGGTCCCCAACTTAACCTTTAAACTTACTATTTTTTTAGACTTTACAATGATGCAGGCTGCTGCTGCTGATGGCGTTGGCTTAAAGAATAAGCATCACATTTTTCACTTTCAGTGTAGTACTCAATGTATTAAATGAGATATTTAATGCCTTATCATAAAGGATAGACCTTGTATTATATAGTTTTGCCTGACTGTAAGCTAATTTAAGTGTTCTGAGCACATTTAAGGTAGGATAAGCTATAATGCTTGGTAAGTTGGGTATATTAAATGTATTTTCAACTTAACACTATTTTTAACTTACAGTGGGTTGACTGAGACATAACTCCATCTATAGAAGGTGCCCAGACAGTCATCCCAGTCATCCTAGTTGGTCCTCTTTCTATATAGGCTGTTTGCCACACAGCACCCCAAGTGATTATTTTTAAAATGGACAGCTGACCATGTCACTTTCCCACTCAAAATTCACCAGTGACTTCCTGTCACCCTTCGAGTAAGCTCCAAAGTCCACACATGGCAGAGAGACGGCCCTATTTGGGCTGACGCACCAAGACCCCCTTGTTACAGGGCTCCTCGCTCTTCCTCTTTCATCCCACACAGTCTTGTTTTGAGTCCTTTCTACTTGCTATTCCTACTGTCTTTTCCAAAGGCTTGCACACTCACTTCACCCAGTCCTTCAGAGAGGCTTTACACTGACCACCCTGTGCAAAGCAGTGTTCCTCCACCCCTTCACACACACACACACACACACACACACACACACACACACACACACACACACACACACACACACACACACACACACACACACGCAGTCATTCTGTTTTCTTATCTTATTTTATTTTTCTTTTTGGCACTTATGAGTACCTGAAATGATATTTTGTGTTTACATATAGTTGCTTTCTCTTTGTTTCTCCTCACTAGAATAGATGCTCCACATTAAAGGAAACTTTTGCTGATTTGTTCACTACTCTGTTGCCAGTACTGCTGGGCACATTAGATGCTCAATAAATACTTGTTGAACAAACAAATTACTAAATGTTGATAGAACTATTGAGGTTTAGAGACTGATGGTTGATATATTTGGGGGCTGGAAATTATTTTAAAGTAAAATCTCCATTAATTTTTCTTCTTATCTATGTACATTTATGTATGCTTCTATAGCTGCGCATCACAGTAAACAAACAAGCAGATAGATATACAAGCAAACCATTTATCAGTGCTGCCCCTGAGCCCAGCAGTCAGCCTAGCATTTCCATAGATACTAAATGGTGAGACAGTGAGGACCTGAGGCTTACTCTGGTGTAGTGAGTGTCTGCCCCTAGGAGAGATTCAGTAAAAAAACGCATTAATTTTGTGGCAGTTTATCCAGACGGAGCTGACATCATATTTAATTGATCTTATACATTTCTTTCTCCTAGATTTGTATACAATCAAAGGCAATGCCTTCGGAATGCCATGCATGTTTCCCTTCCAATATAATCAACAGTGGCATCATGAATGCATCCGGGAAGGTCGGGAAAATGACTTACCATGGTGTGCCACGACCAGCCGATATGAAAGAGATGAGAAGTGGGGGTTTTGCCCAGATCCAAGTAAGAATAAATCTAGTCTTCTCTATACATAATGAATGAATCAAGGATGATTAGAAAGTTGTCTGTCTCTAAAGAAAAGCTCTGGGATTGATAGATTGAAGTCTGAATAAGCACTCTGATTTCTTTAATCCAAATTTTGATTTTGGGTTTGTTTTTGCCTTGAAAAGACAATTCTGATGAATATTTGTTTTTTCCCTTATGTTCAAAAGATGTTAATTAGCCATTCTTCATTAAGCTCAGTGCACAAAGATGCTGTAACTGGAATCAAATTATAATACTCTGTGATCTCATTAATCCCAGCTTCCCGGCAGGATACTTCAAAACAAACCTGAATGTGTAGAAAGCTCAGTTACCTTTTCAGTCTGTTACCTCTTATGAGCAGCTGAAATTCTCTACATCCAGACTGCTTGTCTTGCCCATTGTCAAATCCAGGCATCAGCTGGACCCTCGATGATCTTTCTAGAATTGCAGTCACCTTCATTATTTCTTGACAGTGGTTTCTCATCTTGACTCCCTTTCCTTATTACTTTCTAGCAGTAACCTCAGAATTTTTTTTCTCTTCTTGATTTTCAAGGTCCAGTGACAGCTACCGTTTTTTGACTTTTTTTTCCAGTTATTGCTTTATTATTCTATTTTTATTTGGCTAAAAGTCTTCCAGTTATTAAGTATTAAGAAATATATATACATATTCATTCTATTTTCTGAATTCAATTTCCTTCAGTTTGGTTCCTGTGAGTCAAAGTAGAGCTTTTATAATCTCTTCATCTTCTGTGCTTGCCTCCACTCCACATACATAATAAAATGCAACAAATAAATCAGAAACAAAAAAAATGAATAAAATTTTTATAGTAACATAAGAATAATGTTCTAATCTAAAGACCAATATGGCTTAGTAAGTGGAAAAGAGTACAAGTTCTGAAATAATACAAACCAAGACTGGAGTCCTGTTATGGTCATCGCCATCGTCATCATTCTCCCCAAACCCAGTTCATCTTTTCAGCATGTACTTCTGAACCAGGATCCCTCTCTTTGTTGCCAGTCAGCAAGCACTGAGCTAGGCAAAGTGATGAATGCTGAGAGTTTTAAGACTTAGGATTCTCCCTTCAAAGAACTTAGCATTTAGATGAGAGACAGGACAGATTGGACAAGATGATATGAGATATTGACCAACCTCAGTGGACACCTTAGTGTGAGTTGGGAGCTCCAGAGGCTCATGGATGCTATTAACCTCTTAGCTACTGGAATGTGAGGAAAGGCTGACAGGAAGCACTCAAGGAGCTCAGGACAATGGCAATTCACTAACAAGCAGGAAAGCATTTTATCATTTAATAACTACCAAATCACCAGCCTTCTCTATCTGAATCTGAGGGCATGTGTGGAGGTGCACATGCATGTAATCCTTACATTCCTTGAGTTCTTGAACCAGATATCATATTATTTACATCATGTCCTCTTTCCATTTCCACCTCCAATAGATGCCACTGTTGAAGTAAATGAGCCAATATTAATAAAATTAACACATATTTCATGTGACTGTATTACTGAATACTTTTTTTTCCCAACTACAATCTTCTCCTTAAGTTTCTGAGAAGAGCCTTACCACCATCCACTGTCACTGGTAGCCAACTATGGTTTCCAGTGGAAGCCTGGGGTTATTGTGCCCAGGGCTTTTCATGCCCCAGACTATCTATTTGTTCAGCTTTCTGTAGCTCAGAAGTTTCTTCCACTTGACAGTCTGCCAGATTCTAGCTCACCTGACCTTTACCACAACCAGCGGAGAGCGTGTTTGTACAGTACTGGCTTACAGTTCCAGTTTTCTTTTTTTCTTGTTACATTTGGTTCCTAGTGGCCAATATACTTCAAAATGGCATGTCAGAGATTGAAATCTCAGCAAGCCAATAGCTCTCTCCATGGGGTCAACAGGTAAATAGGACAGAGAGAAACTAATAGAATAAAGTAAAGATTCGCACTTCTGTATCTCATCTTTCTTACATGGAAATATTTTGTAAATACCTCAAAGCAAAATGATCCTGCCTTTAAAAAAAATGTTGATTGTGAGAAAAATTTAAATTCAGTACTAAAAACATGAATGAGAAAAAAAAAGAAAATACATACACAAACACACTAGCAGTGAAGGATGTGATAAAATGTCTCAAAATAAGGATCGTACATAAGGATCCTTCTGGGTTTTCTTAGAGACAATTCTGAGCCATCCTAAGTCTTTGTTGGTGTGTGCCTTCCATAGATAGAAAGTCATGCTTGATATCTTTTTAGCATACCAACTTTTGGAATGATCTGATTGCCCTGGAACTTTATTCAGTTGATCTAGTTTTGATCAGTACCATGAATGGCATAACAGGGCAAATTGGTACCAACATAATATGTGATTGACAACCTTACCTGAGCCCTCAACATCAATCAGCAAAGCTGTATGTCTCTCTTGCATGTGGCATTGTCACTTTGCACAACGGCCATACCAATGCTCTATTTTCAACAGCTTCTGCCCCCTAGCCGTTCAGCCCACTTGGGTATGTACCCATCTTCTCCTTTTCCCTCCTTCCTATCCAAGAGGATGATGTTCCCTCTACCCAGGGAACATCACCTGGGCTCTAGATCTTCCTGACCAACGTTCTCTAACCAGTATCTCAGTGGTTATCAAAGTGAGGTCCCCATTCCAACAGTACAAATATTCCCTGAGAACTTTCTAGAAATGCAAATTATCAGTCACATCCCAGACCACTATATCAGAAATTCTAGAAGTGCAGCCCAGCAGTCTACACTTTAACAAGATTTCTAGGTGGTTACAGACTACATTCTCCCTTAACTGGGTCCTTCATTAGCAATTAAACCTGTTCAAGTCTTAAAATAACATCTTAAAAATAATATGACTTCTTCATTCTGCTTCCTGAAAATACCTATCTCTCTCATCCCCTGCATAGACAGATTTCTCAAAAAAATTGTCTATACCTCCTGACCTGGCTTCTGTTCTTTAGTACACTGTCTCTTCTTCATGTCTTTGACAATGCATGCCTGGCCTCCATTTTCACAAACCATCCATTAATTCACTCATTCAGCAAATATGTATTGAACATGTTGTGTGCCAGGGAACCTGCTGGCTGCTGGAGTTATAACTACAACTGTGAACAATGAAAGTAGTGTCTGCCCTAATGAAACACACTTTCAAGCATAATACACAAATGGATACTCACACTTTTTGAGAGGGGCTACGTTAAAAAAACAAAACCAGCATTACAAATGAGAAAACAAATAGAAAATTTGAAGTCCTGAGAAGGTTTTTCTGAGAAAGTTGTACTTAAACTAGACATGAGTAGGGGTTATCAAGACAAAAAGTGAGGAGAGGAATGAGATACCCATACAGAGGCACACGGTATACTGTGTGCCAAGAAGGTAGGGTAAGTGTGGTCATAAAGGGAGTATATATATTTTTAATAGAACTAAAAATAATAAGAAAACTAACTAAAAATCAACATGTTTTTGATTCACCAGGCACATGTTCTAATAATTCTAAGCAATAGCGATGATAAAATACTCCCACCTGTCCAGGTCAACTTCCTTCCCACGGCCATCCTGCCATGCAGCATGTCGCTGTTTAAAGGCTCTTTGGGAAAGAGGTTAGTGCAGTCTAGGAAAGACAATGTGGTGAAATTGCAGTAGGTGAGGGAGAGAGGGACAAGACTCTCTGGAGGGTAGAGGCCAATTCATGTAGAAGCTAGATAATTTAGATTGTTATTGACCTAATTTCATTGGCAAAAGTAAGCCATAAAAGGATTTTAAGCAGGTGAATAATAAATGTTCTTTTAAAATTGAAGGGTTACTCTGGTTCTTTCATACTGAAGGCTTGGAAGGGAGCAACACAGAAAGCCTGGAGACCATTATAAGGCTAGAGCATTAGTTGGCCAGAAATGTGGGAACTTGGGTTAGATGGTAGCAAGAGGATTGGAGAAAAGTATACACACTGAATTTGGAAAAAGACTGAACAGGACCTGGTTGTCAGGAGCTCAGCTGGGCTGGACAGAGAATACTGAGCTGTCAGGTGTTAGAGTAGTTAATTAAAGCAGTAAGCTAAAATGAAAGTGTTAAGCCTCAGTTCACTTTCTTTTTGGGGGGGGGGAGATTTTCGCTGTAGGGCGCGTGCGCTCGCCAGACAGACAGAGAGAGACATAGAGACAGAAAAAGAGAAATCACCCCCCAGGGGGGATGGTCACGCTGCAATCCCTTCTCCTCCATTCTCCTCTCGGGATCTTGGGCACGCACGCACACGCACCCAGAGTGAGTTTTAAGCCACCGGGTCCGGGACGCGAACCGTGGTCGACTACGTGGGAATCCAGCAGCATAGCCATTATGCTAACTGCTGGTTCCCAGCCTCAGTTCACTTTTGAGAGAGTCCTGAACAAAAGGATTTTCTGTTTTATGGACTTTGGGGTCAGGGATAAAATGAGGAAAAAGAGCTAGAAGCAGAAAAGTACTGGATACTGAGTCCGAGTAAGAAGCACTCCCTCAGTAACCTACCCCACCAACCTCAGCAGGATCACTTGAAGAGGACCTTGGCCCAAAGTCTCAGATATAAAGAACCCTAGGAAAGAAGGCACCTGGGGCTAGGGATGCAAATACCAAGAGATGGGTCAGAGGGGGCTGAGCCCTTCACTGTAACTTCCTACACTGGCTGTATGCCAATCCTGGAGTTGTAAGGCAGCTCTCCTCAGTGAGGACTGCCAGGCAAAGTCTTTATCATTGCCGATAGTCAGGCTTCAAAAAATCACATATAGGTTTGGGTTTTGGGGGGGATTTTGTTGTTTTGTTTTTTAATTCTCCAAAGGGTGCTTACACTCACAAGAGAGGCAGAGAGACAGAGAGAGAAAAGGAGGAGGAGAAATCATCCACTAATGGGGTGTGGTCACACCCTCCATTTTCCATCTGTTCTCTATTTCTCCATCCTGTTGGGATTTGAGGTATGCACACACATGCACCCACCATGTTTT